TTAATGACCATCTACAAGCTGTATATGGATATAATAATAAGGATGTCTTGAAGATGTCATTGCCATAAAATTACAGATGTCTGGATCTGAGACCTTTAAGGAAATCTTTACTTCTTAGGAATGGCTTACCAAGAAGTATTGAAACATTAGTAGTAAATAATAAATTTTTAAAAATACAAATTGCAACAAATCAAACAATTTTATGTTAAAAGACTTGTTATATGGAACATATAATGTCAGGGACTAGAAGGAAATTCTCCTTCAAAGAATAGCCTGACAGCCCCCTGGGAGACATCCTGCAGCTACCTATCTCCCTGGAACATCCTGTGGTTATCAGGATCATCAGACACCCTGCAGCTGGCAGTTTTACCACCCACATCCAGCAATTGCTGATTAGAGAGCTTCCCCATCCCCAGCATATAAATACCCCTGTGTGAACAATAAAAGTTTGCAGCTTGATCAGACTCCTGTCTTGCTGTCACCTTTTGTGTCTCTTGTCCCTTCATTCCTCCCCATCTAGGTTCGCTGCCCAAGTTGATGTGTCCTGCTGTTTGGGACAATATAATAGCTAATATATGCTATTTAGTTGTTAATGGGTCTTTTATTTATTTATCTATTTATTTATTTGTGGTGTAGAGGCTCAAACCCAGGCCTCACACATGCCAGGAAAGTGCTCTACTGCTGAACCACAACTTCAGCCCATATATGCTGTTTAGTATTTACTTTCTTCCTCAACTACACAAATCTACTGCATTCCCATATCACTGGACTCTGAAAGATAAGGTGGGTGCTGACTCTTAAGTCTAGTAATCAGAGTCAGGACTGAATTAGAATTGCCAAATTCATGTTCCAAAGATTTGAAAAGAGCTCAATTCAGAAATAGATAATATTAGTTTCCATTTTAGCTGATGCTAATTATTGCCTGTTTTTCATTATAACCTTTATATAATGATATTCAGTATTCTTTTGTTCATTGGAAACTAGCACCTTAGAACCTTAGACTCACCACGCACCTCTCTTCATTCTAGTTTTATCATGTAATTTTCTGCCAAATATCTAAGATGTGAGATGCACATAGCCAGTATTCTGAATGGGTACTTATCTGTATAATTAGCCTTGTATTATAGTCTAAGTGTAGATTTGATTTCATCAAATACATATGTCCTCATTTGATATCCAATTAGAAGAGATAAAAGGGAAAATACCATGCTAAGTAATTCTAATATATTTATAAGGGTGTGCCAACACTTTTAATGATCTGAAATTTTACTTCCTTTGTGAGCTAATATATTAGATGGCCAAATTATTAATGGATATTGGCAGCAAAGATTATACTCCTGGATCAGAGATGAATAATTTTTATTATTCCCAGCTCAGCAGTGAGCATTATTATTCTCACATCCATTCATCTAATCCAATCATATGGAGGTGATATAGGTGTTCCAGGCTGGATATCTACACACAAAGAGGGCTATGTTATGGGAAACCTTCATGTTGGGATCCTGAATCTTTTGTAATAGAGAGTGAGAATGACTTCCTTTTGCTCCAAAGAAAGACAATATTCCATCTTCCAATGTAGAAACTGCATAGAAGGACAATGTCTTATTTGCAAGACGTGAAAAAATGCAAGAAACTTGTAGAAAATTGCCAACAAGATGAAGGCTATCTCCTAATTTGCTAAAGTTGTTAAATCCTTACTTCTTCCTTCTATTTTCTATCACCTCCTCTTTTTTTTTTTCATGAACTTCAATGAATAGACCAAAGGAAAAAAAAATGTATTTGGCCATATAGAAGTTAAAATGACATGTCTAAAATTTTGTAGGGATTTGGGGGAAATATGGAACAAAGAAAATGTGCCTATTAGTAAGTAAGAAAATAAAAATAAAATTGCCTGCTATTGTGATTCCAAAAGATAAACAACTTCAAGAATGTTAACACTTGAATTTATTAGTGGTCTATTGCTAAACATTATTTTTCAAATTATACTGAACATAGTATCAATAGAGCTAAATTTATGCATTAAAGTATATTTAAATAGCTATGTTATAGTTTTCCATAATTTTTCTTTTATATTTAATACTCTGAATCTCTTAGTTGGTATGTCCAAATTAGAAATAATATGACTGATTTTTTACAGTTTTTATTTGTCATGAAAAGTATAGCACAGCAGTTGATGGACTGTCTATATAATATAAACAGGAAATAAAAAACATTAAAAATTGGATAGTTCAAAATTTACTAATTTAATATTTATAACAAAATTCTAATTCTTAATTTTGAGGAGAAAAACTTTTGAATAAATTACTTTTATTACTTTAGCCATTACAAGATGATCAGGCCATTATGGTATCATTTTTCTTAGTTTTTTTAAAGGGTTTGAAAGCAATAGTATTAACATTGCATAGCTGTGAAAAATCATGATGAAAACTATAAGTAAATATCATACATAATAATGAATAAACTTTTTGCATTTTTAATTTCTGAATACTTTTTTTAGTGAAAGTAATTAGAAATTAAAGGTGTTATTTGAAGTTGTTAAATAAATTGGTGTGAAAATACAAGCTGTTAGGAACTCTGAAAATTGACAGAATATTTTTATGGTTTTCCGAGAAAGCAATTCCATGTGAAAGCAAGGACCAAAAGGACATCAAACATAATATTAATATTATTAGGATCACTCTAATATTCTCCATAATATTTAATTTACTTTGTTTCTATAAGTTTTGCCATGAAACAAAGATATTGTTTTGATGTATCTTTTTTTTCTTCTGTTAGGTTGGATTAAGTTATGTACAAAGATTCTATTACAGAGAGAATTAATTAATGTTGAAAGATAATTCAACATGACTCTTTGGTGCTTTGATTCTTTGGTCACTTCTCTGCTCATGCACAACTTCCATTGTATATACTCAATAAACTAATTCYCCCCCCCCCCCCATTTTAAGTCCAGATTCCATCAAAGTATTAATTCAAACTCAAAAATCCAAATTTATTACTCTATCATTCCATATTCTGGGTATGGATTTGTAATTCTGGAAGTTTAAAGTAAAAGACACATTTCTTCTTTGACATAGCCAGTATACGATAGTGAAATTATACAAGTTTGTCTTCATAAAAAACACCATTTGGAAAAGGAGAGTGACAAATGACGTATTTACTGGTGTAAGGGTCCGGCGAAAAGTCGGAGGAAGAGACCACCAAGAGACTGACTCATACAATTGCAGAAGGGGATTTATGGAGGATCCAATTCAGCTCGCTGAGGCTCCAGGCTCACTCAAGAAGGCAGAGCAGCCCAGAGCCCAGAGCAGAGGTTAAGCAGTGCTTAAGTACACTTTTTGGGGAGGGCGGGGGCTTTGCATACATCAGAACAAATCAGCATGAGGCGCAGGAAAATTGAACAACAACTCTGAGACATGATTAGCACATTCATTGGCCGGAACAGGTCGGGTGGGGGTGATTGGTCACTCCTAAGCGGGGTACACATTCAAACTGATTGATTCGGGCCCTGTATGCCTACACAGGGCCCTAGGCTAAATGGCCAGTAGGGCGTTGTCTTAACTGCCTCAGGAATTTCAGGTTCTGGGTATAGCAGAGGAACTTAACAATACCTGGTCCTTTACTTTTTAACTCAGGACTTGCAGCTTAGAAACTTTACAATGCCCCGTCTTTTACATTTTAACTCAGGCTTTACAGCTTAGAAACTTTACCCTTTCACTGGTGCATTGTAATTATCATAACCCCATACCAGGAAAAATAAAGATCATCTGCCCTGCAAATTGAATAGGTTTCTTAATAATCTTATCTATTAAATCCTTATTTTATTTATAGAAGGACCACCTTTTTCATTTCCCTCACCACACTTGGTTTTGAACTTCAGGTAATTTGATATTTCTGGTTTGTTTCTTTTTTATTTTTCTCCCATGCAAACTGAGGTCATCAGTGTACAAGATCACCTCAAGAACCAAGAGGGCTACTGGTACTACAACCCTTTGATTCGCCTTTTACATTGGAAGAAGTTTGAAGGTTGGGAAAGGCAGGAGAGTTCCTTCTCAGTTGCACTAGTCTTGTTTAAGGAGCTATCTAGGAGCTATCTTGCTATCTAGAATGACATCTGCTTAAGTTACAGGGAGCATGGATGGGTGGGTTCTTTGTCTTATGAATTCAAGGAATTAAATCAATGGACACAAGGGTGAGGGAAAAGTAACAGGATTTATTGGAACAATGACAAGAAAAAAATCAGAGCTCCTGAAGGGGAGAGGCCCCAAGAAAGTGAAGCTAATGGAGTCTGTTGTCTAGAGGTTTTTAAGGGCATCTTTGAAGGCGATTGGTGGGGTGAGGCATCAATCAAGCTCTTGATTAATAAGCCAATTAGAAATGCATATTTTTAATCCTTTATTTATATAATCAAGAGGATGGATCCAACCTTGTTTTAAGTAAGGGTCTATTTAGTAGTTGGCTTTTGTTAGGGGTAGGAGCAATGATAATTAAAGAAGGGCTTCTGTGATTGAAGATTCCAGAAACAGGAACAAGTATTGTAAATCAGATGAAATCATTGTGATTAAAGCGGACAAAAATTAGCAAGTCACAAGATGTTCCCCAGACCTGAGGTCTTCTTTCAGGTTGGCACAATGTCCCCCTCCCTTCCTTTCCTTCTCTAAGACCCTTATCCTGGATACCTAGGGGAGATCTAACTTCCTGCCTCACTTAACATCTCTTGGCTATCCCTAATTGCCAAGGGGGTTAGAAAATATTGTATTTTAGCCCAGCAAATTGCTTATCAGCACACAAAATGGGCTGTAAGAGTTAGGGGAAACGTGGTTATCAGAAAGTTAACTAGTGATCTGTGCAAGAAAGTGTAACATTAAATGTGTCTTCTTTCCACTCCAGCACTGGTGTTCTCTTTCACTGATTACTGGTGAATGCTTGGTAGCATCATCTACCAAGGAACTACAGAAACCTGAACATCATTCTTGACATACATTTTCCTTTCTCACTCTTTTTTAAATATGGAACACTTCATAAATTTGTGTGTCAGCCTTGCATAGGGGATATGCTAATCTCTTTATTGTTCCAATTATAGTATATGTGCTGCCTATGTGAGCATGTCCTCTCTCACTTTGTATCCAAACATGAAAACTTTCTCCAGATCCTTAACTCCCTTCAATCAATGGCCTTTTAACTGCATGAACCTTTGCTCTGGCTACAAGTTTTCCCCTTATATTTTGAGTTCAAAACATTAAAAATCTCTATGATCACTTGGTATTTTAATCCACTGTAATAAAATTTCCACTGTTTCCCCACCTCAGCCACTTCATAGAAATTCTTCTGCAAAAGTGTTCAATGACAACTTATTAAATAAAATAAAAACTTTCAGGTTTTATATTTATTTTTATTAAAGCTTTGAGCTCTATTACCCACCTCAACCTCTTGGATCTTTCTTATCCTTCAACTTCTTTGATTTAATTTTTACCATCCATTCTTCTTCCCTCTTATAACCATAGAAATTACTCATTTTTCTTTCTAATGTTAATCAATCAACTGGATTTAGGATTCTGATAGGTTACTTTAGGATACATGGTTATATTTTAGAAGCTGCAAATAATAATTCTTCTCCTTTATATTTAACTACTCTGTACAAAATGTGTGAATTACAACATTATTTAAATATGCTGCATTAGACAAATGTCTCTTCAAAGATCTTCAAGACATAATTTCTGAATTTAGCCTATTTGCCATGATATGATAGAATGGGTTTTTAAATGTAAGTAAACTAATAAATGGCCATAGTGGATTATCTGTTGGTCCCAGTCTAATCACTAGAAACCCTAAAGGCAGAGAACTTTTAAAGATCTGCAATAGAAGGGAAAAATGGAGAGAGACTTGACCTTCCATAACTGGAAGGACCAGATGGAAAGCTTAAGAAGAAATGTGGGCACCCCGCTAACACTCTGAAAGGAAAAGAGAAGCTCAGTCTTGCAAATGTGGGAACAAAATTTAGTGAATATCCCAATGTGCTGAGAAGCAGATATTTCCCTACAGCCTCCACTGGGGAATGCAGCCTCACTAAAACTTTGATTTCTACCATGCAGGCTTTTGACAATATGAGATAATAAAGTTATGCTGTTTGAGGACATTATGAGATAATATACTTATGCTATGTTGGGCCACTCAACTTTGGGCATTGTCATGGCAGTAAAAGAAAAGTATCACATATGCAATATCCCTTCCTATTTTAATAGAAATAAAGGAAATTCTTCAAATATGGAGCCAAGCATGGCTTCTCCTCTCCTCCTCAGCCAAATTTATATTATTGGCTTCTTCTGTGCCATTTGTGAATGCCACTTTCAGGCTATGAACAGGATTGAAGTCTCCAATTTATGGAAACAACATGAGTGATGATATGAGGAACAGGAACTTACCTGGATTATTGCCTGGAATAACTCTGGAAGGGAGAAGTTCCTGAAAGGAGTTTCTGGGAGGAATTAGTGAAATTGGTTAGGAATGCTCTAGTGAGAGTGTTTAAATGCCAGGAACAAACTCAAATAGCAAGCTGAGTCTTTCAAAAAATGCCAAGGGTAAAAAGAAATAGGTTGGGTTTTCTTATATAGGAAAGAGGAACATATGGAAAGACTTGTCAGGAGAAGGACTTACTGCAAGGGCCTCAAGCAACTGGTGGCCACTTTATTCTTTTTTTTTTAATTTTTTAATATTTATTTTTCAGTTTTCGGTGGACCCAACATCTTTATTTTGTTTTATTTTTTTTATGTGGTGCTGAGGAGCGAACCCAGCACCCCGGACACGCCAGGTGAGCGCATTACCGCTTGAGCCACATCCCCAGCCCCACCACTTTATTCTTGATTCATAAACTCAGAGTAGGCTTATCCCTTTGCTGTTCTCATCTTAACATTGTCCACAATTTAAACCTGAATCCAAATGAAGCCAATCGATGAATATACAAATAAATGCATAAAACCTTTTTGTATTCAATATAAGTTTGAATAATCAAAACACACACCTAGTAATATAGATTTATTAGAGAATTAAACAAAAAAGAAAAAACAACCTAGCCCTTCAAATTTCTAGCTGCAATATTATAAATCCTCTTGGAGTAATATAGTCATGCTAATCAAACTTAGAAAATTCAGACTGTGAATTAAAGGAGACCACCATCAAGGTGAAAAGCAGAATTAACTTTCTGGGTTATCAGATACAGGGATATCTCAAAACAGACAAGTAAAACAAAAGCTGAAAGACTTATAAAAGAGATCCAAGAGATTAAATGCAAATAAATCCTCCTGAAGGAGAAAAAGAACTAGGAGGAAGAGAATAAATAAACAAAACCAGAAAATTTTCTTGAGCTGCAGAGACCTGAATTTGCAGATTTGAAAGGTTTACTTAATTTATAGGCTGCACTGAAGGGGAAAAAAAAAAAAAACACTCCTAGGCATATTCTGGTAAAAATCAAGAACTATAATGAGCAAGAGAAGAAATCTTACAAGTCTCTAGAAAATTGAGGTTAGCAAAAGCCAATTTGGCTATGGGAGGAAATCAGATTACTATCAAACTTTGTACTCACAACAATAAAATAGAAGCTAGAAGACCTATGTTTGTAAATTAGTAAATGAAAATGTAACTTTGAAATTATTGAACAAGGGAAAAATCTATTCCTGCATTCAAGGGAAATAAAGTTATTCAAGGAATCAAAGAAGATACCATCAAGTGCCTCTTAGATATCAAAAAAATGAAGAAAGCTTCAAATAATGTATATAGAAAAGAAGGAAATGAAAAGGTAAAATAAAAATATCAAAAACACCAGAATGAACTTTAGTTCCTACCAAAGTATTGAGGCATAGCAAAAATTCTTCCTAGAGAAAATTTTGTAAGCCCAGATTAATGATATAGTGCTATGTATCAAAGTTTTCCAAAACTTACCTTCTTAAATAGGCTTAAATAGGAATCATATTGCATGGTTTCTGTAGGAAAGAAATTTGATAGTTGCTGGGGTATAAGGTTTGCTTAGTGTCTCTTATAGAGTTACACTTACATGTCAGTCAGGAAAGATGTCCTCTTTTGTTTTGACTGAAGTTGGAACACCCACTTGCAAGGTAGGTCAACTAGCAACAAGGTCAGTGATACTGACTTTTGTCAGGAGAACTCAGCTCCTCTCAGTGGCCTCTTTACCTGAAGCTGCTTGAGTCCTCGTGACATAGCAGCTAGTTGCCCCAGTGTGAGTGACCCAAGACACCAAGGCTGAATCTATTCTCCCTTTTATGACCTTCTGTCATCCTCTTGCTTGAATGGGACAGTGCTGATTCAGTGTGTGACAGGACTACACAGGACACTGACATGAGGAGGAATGTTCATTGGAACTATTGTGGAGGCCAATCATCCTAATACTTTAAATGCTTTCCTTGTTAAATCTTTATGAATATTTTAAATGAAGGAACTTAGGACTCCCTGGGAGAAAAGGAAGTAAAAAATAAATGAAGAAATCACAAAGCAGGCATAATAAAAACAAAATTTGATATTTTATTTTTAATCATCAATTGCTAAATGAGTACAAAAGCTTTTTAAAAATACTAGTTTGAAAAAGTAGAAAAGAGAGAAAGCAAAAAAGAAGTATTATCAATGGTAAAAGATATAAGACTTTGAGTTTGTTTCTTTGTTTATTTATTTATGAACCCAGGGGCATTTTACCACTAAGTGATATCCCTAGCCTTTCTAATTTTTATTTTCATTAAAAATTTTATTTTATTTTTGGCACTGGGAAGTGAACCCAGGCGTGCTTTACCACTGAGCTATATTCCCAGCCCTTTTTGTTTTTCATTTTGAAGTAGTAGCATCTTGATAAGTTGCTCAGGCTGGCCTCCAACTTGCCATCCTGCCTCAGCCTTCCTTATAACTGGAATTACAGGTATGCACCACTGTGCCTGGCAAGACTTTGGGTAAATAAAAATGGAAATATTCAAATATTAAAATTACTTCTAATTAAGATAAAAAATTTCTGAAAGACTAATGAGAAAATGAAAATAAATGAAATGAAATAATAAAAATAAATGAAGAAACTACAAAAGAAGCAAGGAGAAAATCTTTGCAAAGAATATGTTTGATAAGGAACTATTATTCAAAATCCACAAAAAAAACTCTTAAAAGTCAACAATAAGAAAATATACTTGATGGATGGGTTAATGACCTTAAGGAACATCTCACTAAAAGAGATACAGAGAAGGCTATTAAACATGTGGAACTGACGTTCCACATCACATGCTATCAGGGAAATGTGAATTTAAACAATAATGAGATACTATTACCACCTTACTAGAATCCCCCAAATCTAGAACATAGACAACACCAAGTCCTGCTAAGGATGTGGAACAACATCTTGTTACAGTTAAGATTGTCTTTGGTGGAGAGTAATAGAAACCTGACCATAATGGCTTCAACAAGCACAATGTTATTTTTCTTACATTAGAAGGAGGCTGGAGGTCTATAACCTGACCTGGAATGGTAGCTTCATATCATCACAGGTATCCAGCATCCTTCCCTTTTATTTATTTATTTATTGTCTCTCTCTCCTTAGTATGTGCCTTTAGTCTTCATGCTCTCAAGATGCACAGAAGGCAACATAGTTATCTTCTAATAGTGAATAGTTTAACTTAAAAAGATTTCTCTAATTTAAATTTTGCCTATAATGGGAAACACAATCTTCTAAGATGACTCCTTTTATTTCATAGCTGTTAGAATAATAATATTCTGTTCAATATTTACAGTACTGCTTGTATTTAGTATCTATTTGCAACAGCATAGAGCTCCAAATCTGAAAGATTAACACCAACAAATATTTAATTCTCTCTGATATTAAATACCTATAGTTGTTTATTTGCTGCACATTTTTTTCTACTCTGGGAATCAGGTAAGAGTGGGAAATTATATTTTGTTTCTAACCAAATACTCAAGTCAGAGAGAAAAGAGCAAGTGTGGAAAATTGCAGTATTTCTTAATGCTTCTGTTCGGACATAACATACATCAAACATATTCACAGTCCCAGGAGGGAGGTAAATCACAAGGATAAGCCTGACAGTGAGGAGGGAAGTCTATTTTTTT